CATAGGAGGGCTGATCACATTGATTGAAATAAACTCAAAGACCAAGTACTTCGAATGCTAGCAGCAAGTAAAGGAAACTTAGAGACATCGAGAAATTGATGGTAGTAGTATTGGGTCTATTCGACCTATAGTTCGGTGGACGCACCAGGCAGGGTCCCCCTTATCTAGGGGTGGGGGACCGCGCTGATTGTTAATGTGTAAGCAATATTATCAATGGTAGAGCACTCTAGTGCAGTAAAGGCTGCACACAAAATCGTATGGCAATGCAAAGGGGTTGGACTCGAGAGTGAGGAAGATTGGTCCCTTTGGCTAGTACCATCAGAGCCTGAGCATTCAACTTGAGTTTGATCTTATAAGTCCAGACACCTCTGTGACTGCTGGATGCCAATCTTCCTATGATTATGATAGTCTCTTTGTACTCTGTAGTGCCATTTGGCAGAACAGGGACAAAATTACTTAGAGTTGTTATATGAGGAGGCCCTCAAAAGAACATAATCTGCTACTGAAAAACTAAGTGTATTTCTGAAAGTGCACAAGAGTAATTACCAGAATAATATATATAATGTGAAACTGCCAGTCATGAATCATTAAATGGAGAATAAGAAAAAAAAAGGATGTGGTCCAAGCTTCCTCAAATACAGTAAGACCCCACTTAACACGGGGGATACATTCCTAGATGACAAAGCACTAAACAAAACAGCATTAAATAAGGTCATTTTAGCATAGAGTAAATAGAGAAAGGAAAACACGCAACCAAAAATAAACAAATTTTACTTTAATTTTAAGTTATTTTTATATTAATTTGTATAATAATATATGTTAAATAACACAAACATATGCACACAGAAATGTAAAGTTCATTTTTGTGATGAAAGTCCTGGCTCTTCTAAAATTCTTAACTTTTTTGCGATGAATTTGTTTAGTGTCATTTGTCGCTTTCTTTTTCTTTTGTTAAGCAAATGACAGTAGCAAGAGATTACATTTAAAATGCCTTGTCTTGCTTTTGCACTCCTTTCAAAATCTGGATCATTTGCTACAGTTTGATCAATGATTTCGGTTATCATTACCAAACTTTTACCAAGGAAATCTGTAGAAAAATTCTTTGTGTTCTTCATTTTCAAAATCACTATTTTGCAGTTCTACACAAATTCCTTGTTCTGTCAGTTCTCGAAGATCGTCGTTGCTAAGGCTCACAACAGAAACCTGCAGGACTCCTCAATATCCTGCTCGTCTACATCTCCTAGTCCTGCTGTATTGATTAGGTTGACAATTTGCTCAACTAACAATACAATGATAGGCTCTTCTCATTGATAATTCTTGGATACCTTCATAAATAACTTCTTCCACAATTTGTTCATGCATTTATCAGTTAATTCTTGCCAAACGAAGTCGATATTGCCCATGGCATCCACGATGTTATATTGTTTTCCAAAATTGCACCTAACAAACATAGATTTAAGGAAAGTACAGCACTACGACGAGTTGCCACCTTTTGCCGATTGGTTTGTGTTTGGGAATAATTTTATTATGTATGAATCGATAAAATGCTGCAATAATTTGAATTCGCGTAAATTTTGAGGTTTTTTTAAGGCTTCGAGCAGACCGTGATATATTGAATCAGTGTTAATCGAGGCAGCATTAAGCGGGGTCTTACTGTATGTTGTACATGAAATTTTGTCAGGTATTCAGTAAAATGTTAAAAAATTGTCTGCATATGAAATAAAATGGAAATACTTTGGAGATTTAATAAAAATAATTTTAATTTGAAAGAAAAAAACCTGTCTGTTACCGGTTCATTTCAAAACAGGCTGAAGTCCAGGAGTTTTGTTCCCATTATTGCAAAAACCCATGCCAAAAGATGCAATTTTTATGCCAGTAAATGAACAAACAAGCGTAACTATCATTTACTCCAATCACAAAGACTACCTTTCAATCAATGTTCCCTCTAACCTGCGCGGCCGCACACGAGAATTTATGTGCCGCACAGGGGAGCATGCACACTGATTTGAATTGTTATTTACTTATTTCTCACTCTGTCTGCAACATGATTATTGCTACGTATATTTCAATTAAATACATTAAATCATTGACAGAAGATAATATTTTGTATAAAAGTATGTTTTAAAATTAATTTTAATCTCTACTTTATAATTAATTATTTTAATTTTTTATAGAAAAAAATAAGATTTTATATATACAGGTATACCTTGACTTACATCGTTTTGAGTTACGTCGTTCCCGATTATACGTCGTTTGTAAAAAAAGTATACGGAAAAATAAAAATCAAGTTTAAGTCATTTTATTCGACTTTATGTCAGTCCACCACAAATATTGAAGTCGTAATATCACTAGAAAAGCGTTTAAAGCACATAAAATCATATTAAAATATATACATTTACAAGTATGTACTGTATTTACAGTACAGTACATGCATTCGTAAATTTAGATTACTTTTTTCTGTACTCTATTAAAAACTAAAATTTATTTGTTTGTAAGCTTAAAATAGATTCTTATTAACCATATATTATTAAAAATGCATTAATAAATAAAATACAGAACTGGGAATAGTAATTTATGGTTTAGCCTAGTGACAAGTAGATTCGGAGACAAGTAAATTCGACTTACGTCGTT